CTTCTTTAGATCACGTCCTGCCATCTGCTCTGTCCTCAAGCAGAATGCTCAATACCATTCCATCTTAGAATTGGGCAATTTTTCACCATCTTTGACCTAACTCAGTCTACGAGCTTTCCTGACCTGCCTACAGGTCAGTATCTCACTCCTCCTGATGCCTTCGTAGTTTGCTGATACCGACAGTTCTTTTTGACTTATCGTTTTGTCTGTAATTTAGCGCTACTCATTTCATATGAACTGATCTCATTGTGTGTTTTAGAAAAAAAAAACATTGGCAAAATTGATATTGTTATGCTGAAAATTGCACTCCTTAGTATTGTCGTCATGAGCATTAGCAGGATGCTTACTTCACAGAATAGTCGGTAAACCGCCACAAGTCAATCAAAGCTACCATCATCGTGACTACGTCACAATTCGCCCACTTCTCGGGACCATGCTATCATTACGCAATACATACACACACACGCAGGCACGCACACACGTCCAATTATGCATCCGAAAACGTGTATTCGCATGTACAGAAGCCAGCAAGCCAACACAAGTACATGTGGCATCCAAGTTCCCCCGTCCACTCGCCATTTTGGCTGCCAGTTTGTTTGGTGCTGACTGCACCAGCCTGGCCGATATCTGCGCCCGGCTGAGGGGTGTTAGGACAGGAATCATGGTACCAGTGTGAGGCTTGGCTACCTTGTCTGCCCAGCATAGTCGCTGGGCGGACTGAGGCGCTTATTCATGCGCCTGCGTGTACATGAGAGCGTCAGTTACAACACCTTATCCCCCATCAAAAGTTCCGCCCGGCTTGGTTACCGCAGCCGTCTCAACTTGCCCTGAAACCCTTGCACCTACCGCCTTACACACCCCATAGCTAACTCCCTATCCGTATACATCAACAAAAAAATCATTCTATGGTTTTCCAGTCTTATTTCACCCCTTCCCTACCCCCTCCACCTTGCAGGCTTCGACTTTGACGCCCCTGCGTCCCTTCCATGACTTTATGCAATGAACATGAATAATACACACATACAAATGCACAAATACACAAATACATGAATG